TCATTTTGCTAACTGGAAATATTATTTTCGTCACCAGGGGCGTTTCAGGATTTGGTGTTCATTTGATATTCTCGCAAGACTGGTTCATGTCTTGCGGTTCGTTAACAGATGTTGTAAAATTCCTGTTGCTGGATTTCCTATCGTATTTCACCCTTTGTTGTGAAATTTTTACGCCTCATAAAAATCGGATGTTCCATTTTGAGTTACATGCCTATTGGCGTGCTCAAGCTTAGAGGATATATACAATTGCTTGCTTTTGCTAAAGCACAAACGACTAGCGGGTCGGTCTTATGTCTCTCGTGATGAGCGAGTCATCAGATACCATGTATCCGGCTCCTGTTTAAATTTTCCCGACAAGCTGTTACGAGAAAGGGGGCGGTTCTATACGCCGTGAAATCTGGCCTGGAATGTGTTATGCGCAATTTCTAATTACTGTACTTAATATAAGGAAGCGGATGTATATTTACAAAACCATTCGTGGACTGCTGTAGTTTCCTTCATATTTTGGAACAAGTTGAATCAGTACGCTACTGGCTAGGACGGCGTTTGTATGCAATATTGTGCATTCCTTTTTCTTTTCTAGCCGTATGAAAGCAGATGGTTCAGTGCAATGAAAACAAGGCTTAGCCTTCATCCGTCGTGTGCTTGTTCTTGTGCTTCTTTTCTACGTTATGCTATAAGTCGATCTTCATCGAGAATTCCTTCGACATGGCCAAAGCGTTTACGCCCGCCTCTTTGGCGTCCGTGACGAATCTGTTTGTCGTTATTCTCTTGATCTATCTAGTTTTAGATACCGTTGCTCCCTTCGGTTAGTTTTACCATTTTTCTTCATTGCGGCAATGCAGTTCTTTCCATTCTAGGAACTCATTTCATTTTTTTCCAACCGGGTTATTACGACTGTAGATAGCAAGTATTCCACGTCATTTCTTCTCAGTATTAATGTTTCTCACACACGTGACCACGGACAGAACTGGAATTTCATACAGCCATATATTTTTCTTCTATCTCATTTGCCTTCCAGGTTTATCCAATTCGCGTCACATTCGGCATACTTCGCTCTCTGACGTTAATCTACTGCAGCGTGCAAATTTCGATTCTTTCCTTTCATATGATTTGTTTACGCACTTCCTTTTTTTATCTCCAGCACTTACCTTTAATCCCTATTCTGAAATTGCTTTTCCAACCGACAGCAGTACATTTTTTGGTATTCATTCAGGTTTTAAGATGCCCGACGTGTCATCGGACGAGCTGACTTTTCGAGATGTTCTCCACTCGTTGAGGCACCAGCCATATAACCATATAAGATTACTGTTGATATTATTCTTTAATTATTCTTTCACAAAACGATTGTTGATTTTTAAATTCTTGAGTATTTTCTTGATACGTGATTAGGACATGCAAACGCAAACAGTGGTAGTAGATCTCATTTTCAGGCCAACGAGTTTAGTTGCAGATACGTTTGTATCATAATCTAAACTGAGGAAGAGAAAATGGCGCATGTTTTATACTATCCCCTGGTGCTGATTATGACTGAATAGTCAGCTATCCGTCTATTCGAGGTGAATCGCGGCGATAAGAAATCCTCGCATCAAGCAACGTTGCGGTACATCTCGTTCATTCTGCTATGAACATGCCAGAACACCATGGTGCCCAGTTGTTCACAAATCAATTACCCATTTTTCTTAGCAATTCGTTTCTTTTTTTGTTGGACTGAAGCAACATCGCGTAAATTCCTTGTTTAAGGGAATTAGGGATTGCGACAGATTTTGTCTCGATTCGACTCTGCGCCTCCGCCGCCGTTCGTAGCCGACTTCTTTGCACTGCGTCCAAGATCTTTCTGAGGAATTCCTATAATCTAACTATTTAAAAAGTGAACTGCAGTACCCTTGCTGTTGGGGAAATAAACCATCTATAAAAAAGCAACAACTTTTTACGTTTGTTTCAGAACTCCCCTCCCGTTTTATACGTTTGTTTCAGAACTGGCCAAAAGCGATTCCTAATGATTTTTAAGTTTATGATGTAATGCAAATTGAGGCAATGCTGTAAATAAAACGTGGTGCCTAACCGAGTTGTAAATATAGTTTATACGGTGTAACGACTGAGTTCCAGTGGCTTCGGCATAATGAATATTTCGGTTGTAGCTGCAGTGATAATACGAGGTAATGGCTGTTAACTTGAATCCGTTTGTATTCATGCACCGACACATCTAGGATGACCTGAATACTGAGCTTTTAGCACAAGTGAGTTTGTTTGTTCACTTACATTAATTCACCATACATCACTTCCTGAACGGCACTAAACTACTACTACTACTTATGTTTAAACAGTTTATAATTTTTCTCGTTGCTAAGCAAGGCTGATTTGACGGGAATAATCTTTATGCACAAGGAATATAAGCGATCTACCATGTGTCTGTGTGCGAACTTTTGCCCTAAGCCACGGATTACTGTATCACAGAGGGAAATATTCCTCTCCAAAAACAGATCTGGCTCTACCTGTTGTTTCTTCAGATTGCATATTGGCCTCCCGGCCGAGGTCTGCTATATTTTATATCCCGCACCAAACGCGCAGGAGCTGGAATAAATGGTATTTGCTCAGGCAGTTTGGGCTAACCTCCTTTTCATAATCTCTGCGCCTGTTGAAGTCATCCGTGTCTGGAAGAAGACTGGCTAATTCTTTGCCTCATCCTGCCATTTAACCCTCATTATGCGTCATGCGTCAAATGCAACTCACCTATTTGTAGTTAAATAGTTGTCTTAGATCTTTCATTAGAGCAACTATCTACGTACTATCCAACAACTTTGATCTGACGAAGAGAATGTAGAAGCGGATTATTGTCCAAAGGGCTACTCTTTTTCAGCACAAATATTCGACAGGCTAGCAAGAGTGATCTTGCCATTTAATTCTGATGATTTTGCCATCTCCTGAGACAAGATTCGGAAAGTGGTCGACTTCTTCTGTTCCCTCCTTTTCCATTACTAGATATATTGTCTGATAATTCCTCATAACTTTCAACTTCAGGGCGTTAATCCAGAAGCCAGACTTTCGCAGTTCTGTAGCAAACGGAAATCGCAAAGTAACAGAACGTGCATCTTGACGATATATCAGGTTATAGATCTATACAGATTACTTGAGTTTAGGTGATTATGCCGGTGGAAAGTTCTTGATCGTTAAATTTTCAATTGATTTACTCGGTATATAGATTTTGGAGATGGATTCGGATCAAGATGGATTTTTATTCAGGGCACAGAATACACATTTACATGGTTAAACATTGTCTATCGCGCTTGTTAGAGAATGTCTTTTGAAGATGGATCCAAGTCGATCCGAAATAAGATTTATTTAAGTGCAGTTTATTTGTCAAGCAGGCCCATTAAAGATTATGACGACCAAGGATTATAATGGAAATGTGGTATTGATATCCACCATTGCGTTGTTTTCCAAATATGTTGTTTCGTGTTAATCTTTCAATATAACTAGTAGTGAATTATTTCATTTAAAATGGTCCATTTAACTTGGTGTTTGCTTTCGTTCATTGCTCTGATATGGTTATGTTTTCAGCCTCGACTGTGAAGCAAAACCGGCAATAAAAGATTTAACATCTGCTTTATTCTGTATTTCGAATCATGGATCGTCAAAGTTCGCTGCGGTTGTAGGTAAAACGTTGCTATGGTTGTTTCAGACGAAAAAGTTTGTTCGCTTAGATGAACAGGTTTTTCTGTTGGCGGACAACGGTTAGCTACGTTTGACGTTCTAACTGCATATCAAGAAAATATTCAGCCGATAGTCTTAGCCCTCAGAATCAAAAGTCCTTGAATAAATCAGTTTGAATGTACTTGTGCATAAGAAATACTAGTAATTTACGTTTGGTTACGTACTTGTTTAAGGGTACTTGCGCTTGTGGTATGACGTACTTCATATTGCCAGCAAACGATTGAAAAGTGTTATTCAACGGAACTGCTGGTAATCGATGAAAATAACGGCAACTTACTGGCAGCAGCATTGGTGGTGTTCAGGTTTCCTACATAGACGTATGTTTCTTTTCGCTTCAGGTACTCGCATTGTACATATCCGAACATTTCAGATGTACTGCCATGACGTTTAACGTCACGACGATTTTTTCGTCTCATTGGCAGTAGTTGCTTTTTCGACGTTTCCAGCCGTTGTGAAAAGTATACACTACAAGGTTCGCTGTTTGACAACCACATTCTCAGTGTTCTTTGGTTATGCAATTTTTTTATCTTATAGCAGAGGCGGACAAGTCCTTATGCTGGAGTACACAGACCTGTTGGAGTTGACACTGTTGGTGCGACATCTGCCGTCGATCCTGACCGACGACGAGAAGGCCAGTCTTTTAAAGGCGTTCGGCGCCGAAAGGGTGAGGGTGATGCAGTCACGAGGGCATATGAAGGACTGCGCTTTCGCCTCTTTTCACGACCACGCATCTACCCGGACGGCGTTGTTAATGCTGCATCAGCTGGATGTTCTTGGCAAACGACTTGTGGTGACGTACGCGAGGCCTGAACAAGCGCACTTCATACCGAAGGTTCTGGCCGGTCCAGAGTGTTCGTTAACTTCAGCGAAGGATGTGCCTGCTGCAACGACGTCTTGTTGTTGTGAGGAAGTGAGAAATTTTGTGAGACAGACCAACTCAATCACTCGTACCTCACGACCCGCCGCTCAACTTCCGCTTTGCTTGTCTTATGAATATCCTCCGGCAAACAAGCGCATAATCGAACGGATCGGAAGCTGTCTCATGACTTCCGTGCCGTTTTACGTACAGGTACTGCATCTGATGAATAAGATGAATTTGCCATGTCCATTCTCCGATAGTGATTCTTACGCAATTCCGCATTCAGACGGTTCTCACGATATGGAAGTGACAACCGCCAGCGCGATGATGGACGATGCTTCTTCTGTGGAAACTGAACTGTCAAGTGAGGAAGAACCATCGTCAGGTACTACTGAATTAAGGCGTTCGCAAAACCGGCCAGCTGCAAGAAAAATTAGCAACGAGCTTGTAGAGAAACGACGCAAGAAGCTTAAATGCATCCTCAGGCATACAGCGCCAGAAGCGGTCAGGTCATTCTCAACTAGAACAACATCTGCTACCGACATATGTAAAAAATCGATAAATATCGTTGTTAACTCCATCTTCAATCAAACCAGTGGTGGCGACGTAACGGAGGTCTTGGATGAGACGGGCAGCTTTGGAAAATTCAGTCCAATCAGGAGCCGGACTGTTGATTTGCACTTACAGAGCGAATTCGACTTTTCGACTGTTTTCTCATTAGAGTGGATACAGAAACGACGTTTGGACAAAACGAAGTTCGACGAATATCCCGTTTTCAAGAACTACTCCCACGGATCTCCATCGAGCCGGCTGTACATCAAAAACGTTGCTAAAAAAGTGACATTGCTCGACCTCAAACGTATATATGGTAATTTCGTTGACGTCAGTATCCCCAGCGAGATTCAGGCATTCGACGTGTGCCTGATGACCAGGGGACGGTTGCGTGGGCAGGCATTTGTTTCTTTAGCCAACGTCGATCAGGCTTCGGTTGCTCTACGTTCTACTAATGGACTGATGCTCTACGACCAACCGATCGTCGTGGCCTTTGCAAGGTCACACTTGTAGTCAAATCAAAAGATTAGGTGAAACGTCATGCTTGTTCCAACTCTGTCAATCCACTCTGCATATCGAAACAGACTCTGACTTGCCTGCAGATCTCTTACACTAAGCCTGTAATCGCAGACTATGCGGATCGCCAGAACTCTGCTTTTGCCCTGCCATCCTTGGTCCGAACGGAAGACGAAGAAAATCTGGTGAGGCGATGCTTGATAGATACGAAAAGAAAAAACACTGATGACTTGAAAGGTCCAAATCCGATGAAATAACGCTCTCTGAACTGTCGCACAGTCTTATCCGTTCTTAGTGTCAGTGACTAGATTTATCAGTTATGGGCAAGAAGCACCTAGATTATTTCTCATTGTATAAAGTCGTAAAGTGACTTGTAAATTACAGACTTTATGCTGCTGAACGAGTGACTGGATCCTTCTGCATAAGGAATGAAATGCAGTACATGTCAAGTAGTAGGCTGCTGTATAGTTCTCTCAGCTAACGGCGATCAATCTACCATAGTGGAAACTAAGACATGAATAACTGTTTCACTGGCGGTATATCATCACTATTTTTAACTTCCTCTCGAAATGTTGTGATAGCATGGAGAGAAAGTTACTTGAATGGGGAAAGTCGTTGTTCGCCAGAATTCTGGTGTACAAGCCTACATGCTAGTAGACCACGCTGACCAGCCCGTTAAGCGATATTTCAAAATCGTTGCAAGCACTATGCGTGGTCAACTTAAGCGCCCGGCAAGGTATGCGAAGATCAGCTTTCGAAAAGTCCGGTAAACAGTAGATGCACAGGTACTGATTGATTTGTGTAAAATGCATTGCAATGCCACTTGAATCAAGCAAGTTAGGTAGTACACGTTTAATCAGCATTCTATTAACAATTCGCTTCGCGTATTCACATAAATCTTTAGATTTTAATAATTATATGCATAAACATTAATGCCTATTGCTTATTCTGTTAGAGATGTTTCGTTGAACTTTAAAATAAATCTGCTGAAAACTGGATTCGCTATCACATCTTAAGGTGATGAATGTCTGTTTCTTTTGCATATTATATTTTCTTTTATAGCAGAGAACTTTATTTTCCTTGTAGATTATAAAATATCCATATTTTATGTCATTACAGATGATCGTTGCTGCAAACTTCGTTCAGTATAATTAAACGGTTGATAATAACGAATCCTGTCAAACCGCATGACTTATGTTTCCCATAGCATGAAACATAATTTTAAAATTTGACCTCTCATAAGCAAGCCATTTGCCATAGAGCACCGTTTACGTTGTTTACCGAATGTAAAGATTTTAACGAAGCGATCGCTGCGCGAAATGCTCCGAGAACTTCGTTTTTAATGCCGAAGCAAAGTTACAAAATTGCACAGCTGCTTGAGCGTATTTATTGCAAGTCACGTGACACACGAATAACATGTATCTAAAATCAAAATATGAAACTTGGCTAGTGTTCAAGAAACATGAAACCTTTCACAACAGTTGCGGATTAATTTAGTTTTCAGCTAACAAGTTCTGGAAATCCCAAAATCTTCCTAACGCATTTTCCGTATGCGGTAAGATTTTTCTCTGATTCCGTTTCGTTGCGATACCGATCCCAGGCTTTGTAGTAATCCTGCACAACTTGCAGCGAAATTACATCTTTATCTGACGGTGCGCTGAGGAGGTTTTCAAGGTACTCAGGAAAATTCCGTTTTGATTTGGGTGGTGAATCCATCGATGAGTCAGTTACAGCCTAAAATTTAATAACGACAAATAGACGCAAATCTCAAATTAAAACATGATTTCACCTCAGTACTACTCGCGTTTTGGACGGCTTTCATCCTTTTTACAACCTCTATTATGCTCTTCTGCGACTTGCTCCCTTGCCAAAAGAATTTTTCCATGTCATCTTCGGTCTTGTCGTGTTCCCAGCTTTCAGTCTTCTAAAAAATTTAAACCCTCAAATAATGACATACAAGCCAGACGTTACACTGTACCCATGATTCGTGAAATAGCACGCTGATGAGGTACAAGGCGTAAGAGATGTTTTGATGTCGAGCAGGACACCTGAAAGTAGACATAGTGCAAAATTAAATATACTAAATGAATCATAATTAGCATAACTACGTTTTACGTTAATTAAAACAAATTCAAATTAAATATATTTTCACCAGCCTGTCTCAGTTTAGTGTCGTTGGAACCTTACCGAAATTTTCTATATTTTGCTGATCAAAAGTATGGTGAATCAGAAAAAATGTTTAAGTCAAGAAAAGTAACCTAAATTTTAAAAAAACTTTCGAATTATAGCAAAGTTAAATTTTCTTTGTATAATAAATTGGATTTACTGAAATGAGTTGAATCTTTTCTTAATTTGTTATAATTAACCTTTTTTATAATACTTAAAATCCGGTTCAACTAAACTGCAGAAAAATTGCTATGGGAAGACATTATGTAGTATGAAATCGTTCCTTTAATAGTTTCATCAGTCGTACACGGCAGCTAGCCCATAGATTCCAGATCCACAAAATCATGAATGAAGTATTGACTCAAAGAATCTTTTCAGGTCGCTCAATTTTCAGTGCAACGTATCTTAAGAAGCTAACTAGTGCTAAAAACGGGGAGTGGACTAGGCAAGGGTGTGTTCTTACGATGTTATCATTTGTCCCTTGAACGTTCTTCAGCCAGCTGTTGGTTTAAACCCTCTAGAGGTCTTAATCTACGTAGACTCGTTAAAGGTAATCCGCTCAGGCGTACACAGTTCAGGCTAAATCGCCCACTGACCGATAAAGATGGATCATTGCATTTACTGCTTCCAGAATCGTCTATCATTGCGCAATCCATTCAGGCGTCAAGCTTTGTGGGAAACAAAACGAAGACTGTGAGATCAAGATCTTTTAACGGCGTCAGGTCATGAAGGTCAACGTCGCCTATGAACACAAACTACCGACAGTTCAAACCGCAGCCAACACCATCACGAAGTTTCTCAACAAAGGAATTAATCACTGGACGTTTGTAGTCAGGGGTCATGAACGAGGACTCGTTAGATTATGAACGAGAATACTGGAATACTCCGACAGGTACCCTGGTTTCCATTCCGTGATGAGACACTGTCGATCATCTTCGCAGTTTGCATACTAGGTGAAGTTGATCCACATTACACCATGAGATTTTCCTGAGGCGATCAAGGCGGTAACAAACGATATCTACGAAACAGAGTATGTTTTCATCGTCCGTTAGAGGTAGCCAAATTTCTTGTAAAAGACTGGCGCAAGTATTGCTGAACAGCAGCATTACAAGAAGCTCTGGTGGAAACTTGCAGCCATCATTGGAAAATGCAGGCTTTTGCCAAGTGTTTGTCCGCATCTTCTGCCACGTCTGGTCATCTGAATACTTCCAAAGTTTGTCACAGAAAGAGCGAAAAACGAAGCAACTGGACATCTAAAGATTGGTATGTGCTGCACAAGAATAAGAAAATTTGCAGTTGTTTTGCAATAATAGCTAACAGTTGCGGTATTACAGCCTGCCGTGTCATAAGCTAATAAATCTGATCATAGTGCTGTTTATGTTTATTATATTGACAACGGAGATGCTGTTAAGGAGGAGGACGATGATCATGTGGATTTATCTCTCACAACTTCATTACCGTCAAACTTACCGATCGGTGACGATGGTGATCATGCCGTCATGTTTGTTATATCGATCTTGAAGCAGGCGGATGATTTTGTCCCTGGCGTGGTAGTTCAGAGGTAAAGACTCCAATTTCAAGCGCATCGCAACAATACGAGACCTAGGGTCACGCAATGTCGGACCAGAGTGACAGAAGTCGCTGTACTCAAGCTCCAGAGGAAAATGCTTTCGACAAGCATCATCGGTGTCCAACTGCTCAGGCCATGGAGTGCAGAAACGTTTAATCGCCTCGCAGTGTCGCTTGATGGCCGCCGGCGTCAAATGTAGAAAGTTTGGAATCTTCATCAGCTCCAGATTCGCGTGTTTAGAGGGAATCGCTTTCTTGGAAGCAGCCTTCTGAAAACCCATTCGCACCGGCAGCGGTACAACGCTTTCCTTAAAGCTTTGCGCAGTGGGCCACACACTCGGCCAGTCCTGGTCAATCGGCATCCTCTCGGCTCGTGGTGGCATCATCTAAATGGTTGAAAAACTTTACCTAACAGACAGAGCAGCATCAAGTACTGTGGAAAAGTTACATTGACCAATGAACTGTTCTGTTTTTCAGAATGAATTCCAATACAACTCAATATTGCATAGTTTCTTTTGATAGTTGGGGTTTACTCCATCCATTTACTGAAACTGCGTGAGTCTCAGTACATACCACGACAACCGTTGCTAGTATTTCTGTCATAAAAACGCCGCTGTTGTTTGACAACGTGTGATAATAGTTTCAGAATATCACTCTTAGTAGTAAGCCCAACACCACCGAATCTGAAAATTAGAAGATTAAAAAATCAGTCTTTCCGGATGCAAGGAGAAAGAATATCCAAGTCATCAGTTGATGTTGTGCCCCCCCCACCATCCTTGTACCAACTAGGAAGCAAGAAATTCATGATTCCAGCAGTCAACTTTACAACAAGTAATTTCCCTGTTGCATCTTGGAACGTTCACTCCTGGTCTGGCCAAAGTAAGCCATATTATGTCTGCCGTACGGTCAATAAAAAGTCTGTGTACTGAAGATGGCGGAAGCTCGCCTAATGGGGAAGGAGACGCTTGACCTGCAGGATAGGTGGTCAGGCAACAGTAAATTATGCTGAGCTGGTGTGGCGATCTTCTTGCCCTCCCCCCCGCCCTGCCATGATAAGTCGGGTGGTCATTTCGGTAGAATGTCAACCCACATATGGCACAACTCATTAGATGAAACTCGCGTCAGAAATGACGCCGGCATTGCATCTGATCACTGTACGGACGTAGCGAACCTCGTTTAAAATTTGCCGTATCCCATAGCCACCATTCATGCTAATTTTGGAGAAAGCAAATTCGATTAATCTTCCAAAGACTTAAAAAAAAGCCGAAATTTCCATCATCATCTTCATCATCATCTTCCATCGCCGCTTCTCCTTTCGGGTCGCGGATGCAGACGCATCAGACAGTGCTTCCAACGTTCCCGATCCTGTGCCAGAGTCTGAGCTTCGGCAAAAGACAAA